CCTGCGGACGGAGGCTTGCAGCCTCCCACAGGGCCGCCGGTCCCGCGGCGTGGGAAAGTCCTGCCGGTGTCCGAGCCTCTCCGGGGAAGGTGGGAACCGAGCCGGAAGCAGGTCGCCGGGGGCCGAGGCGGCTGGAGCTCGAAGGAAGGACTGCTGCTGGCAGGGCTCGATGTGGTGCAGCACGAGGGGTTCCTCCTCACCACAGCCAGGAGAAACTGAACTCCCGGGAGGCCTGTGCCAGCAGTCCTGTGGAAAGATGGAGCATTCAGGACAATTGTCTTGGCGGGTGTTGGCAGGGAGCACGGCTCATCCACAGGAGCAGAGGAGGGTTTGTTGTCCGGGATCTTCACCCCTCAGTCTCAGTGCAGTGGTTTCTGCGGCTCTCCAGGAGAAGTGGCAGCGTGCTGTCAGGGCTGTAATTCACAGGTTCTTGAGACATGCCAGCTTATATGCAACGACTGTTAAAACTTTGAGAGGAGAATAAAGACACAGCAGTTGTGTGCAGACACAAACACTGCCAGAAATGCAGACAGCGTGGGTAAGGCTCAAGCAATTTCCACCCTTCTGTTTTATACAAGCTGACCCTGTGAGATGAGAGAATGGGAATGGGAGTTTTCCAAAGTCCGAGGTCTGGCCTGGGGTATGTTTAAGACTTGCTTGTGTCAGGAGAGTTGGCAAGGGGTTTTCTGTCCCATATTCTTCACCCAGCTGTCTGGCCGTCACTGAGTCTGAGTTGCCCTGAGCCAAAAGCTGTCTGTCTGTGGTTTTGGTTTCTATAAATTTCAGAGACTATTCTTTGCCACCTCTACCTTTCTGTGTGAGTGAAAACCAGCAAACTCCTCTCTTCCTTGCTTTGGGTGATGTGGACAATTTAGCAAATATAAGGTGTACTGATGGGCAGTACCTAAAAGCAACCGTGTAGCCAAAATAAGCATTGGTAGGATGTGAATTCTCCATATTAGGTATGGGACAGAGTGATGGGCTCATCAGGCTGGGGAGCCGAGTTGGGGGAAGAGGTATGTGCACCAAACAGGTCATAAACAAGTTATGCTGCTGTTAGTGAGACATGTAATTTTTTTTAATTCTAGGTTAGCTTTAAGCTGCTTAAGGCTTCTTTTGGAGAAGGTACACAAGCAATTCAGTGGTATGTGTGACCCTTAAAGATCCCTGATCGCTTTTCATCAGTAAGGTATTCACACAGGTTTCCTGGCTCTGCAGGCTCAGTTAATTACTTCCTGAAATTTCTACTGCAAGATGGAGATGGATTTTTTCTGAAACAGAGCTCCCAGAAAGTGCAGACTGATTCTTGTGTTGCTTGTACTAGGCTTTAAAAGTCCCCAGCTCAAAAAGTACAGCTGAAATGGGCAGTACTAAATAACATGGTATTAGACATGGCATCCATGGCACATACCCTGTAGCGGAGCTGAGGCAGCGCAGAAAGCTTTGTTTGTGTTGTCTGTATCCTGCAGACCTGGGGTGTGTGCTGTGGGTTGGTTTACCGTGGGGTTGTCATTACAGGTTAGGGTTTCTCTTTCTTTTTTTCCCAAACACTCAACATGCACAGAACTAAGAGTGTTCCCACACTTTATTTTCAGACATCTCCCAGGCAAGCTGCAGGGTTGAGTTGTGATTTGTGGGGCAGTAAGGCCTGTGGAGTTTGTCCAGTTCTCTTAAACTGCTGCTGTGCTGCTTAGAAAATGACCATCTGTAATTGCAGCCTATGCCTTCACTTTTAGGGACTTGGCATGCAAAACCAAGAGGCGAAGTCAAAACTGAATGATCTGCTCTTTTTGTACTTCTCTAAGGCAATGTCAATGTGAGTGTTGTGCATGCGGCCTCAGAGGTTTGTGCAGCAGTCTCAGCTCAGCTGTGTAGGTGTGTGTTGCAGCGGAACACTTGTTGAATTCCTAGTGGGCAGGAGGTATGTCCTGGCTCTGCTCTAAACCTTAACTGGGGCAAAGCGCTTCCTCTCTGTGCTCTGAGTGAAATGGGTATCATGTTCTAGGCTTACACCAAAAGGGAATTTTTCTTGCAAGCCTAACTGCAAGTAATCCTTGAAGCCTGGTTGACTTCATGGATTGAAAGACTGATGTGGAAGTTGGTGCTTCTTTGCTTAATTTGGGGCTAGTCAGAGGCGTCTGATTCTGCCGCTGGAGGCCGGTTGAAAGCTGATGAGAGCAGTGTACCTCTGAAACCTGTGGCTGTTGCATCCCATGTAGCCAAGGCTCTCTTCTCATCTGTCCTGACTCTCCCCATTGCTTGTGTCTGTGACACAGAGTGAGCCCCTCTTCTGGCCCAGCGGCCATGTGAATTGACTGCTGTGGCTCTGCAGGCTTTGCTGGCGCAACGGCCAGTGAGGCAGAGCTGACACGTGCTGGCACGGAGTGGACGTGTGTGTTCCTGACCTGCACAGCTGCAGCCTGGGCTCAAGAAGGCTGAGGCTGCCAGTGGTGGTGAGGATAATGGAGTGTGTCCTATGGCAACGTGGCCTTCTGCCTACCAGTGTGGTGTCTGGTAAGCACAGCTGCAGGACTGCGGAGAGGCTGATTCCAGAGCAAGATCTGCTGCAGAGGAAGAACTGGAGACAGTGCTGGGGCTGGGTGGGGGGGGGCCCGTCTCCCACCTGGAAACTCTGACGGGAGGAGGAAGAGGAGGTCAGGGTGAGGTGAGGTGAGGCTGGCAGCAGGAGTGGAAATGTTGGGTTGAATCTCCAGCCCTGGTTCTCTTGGATGCCTTGTGCTTCTCGGCACCAGCTCAGGGACAGGCAGGGATGGGAGCTAAAGCAGTGTGTCTTGTTCCCCCCAAACATCTGCCGCGTGGCAGGATGGAGCACTGAGTCCTGTTGTCTGGCCTCCTCGTTGTGCCAAGGCCTTTCAACAGTGCTGTGAGACCAGCAGACTCACCTTCGGTGGGGATGGCAGAGGGCAATTGTCACAACCCTTGGTAGAAATCCTGGAGGTGGCCGCTCAGCCTGGGCAACGATAACCTGTCAGCAGAGCGGTAGCGAGCACTGCCATCGGCTGCCTGCTTGGATGCCTCAGGTTCAGGGCAGTTTTGTCCTGGAGGAAACTTCTCGGAAGCTGCACCTCAGTTTATCTTTGAATTGAGGCAGAGACAAAAGCTGCATGATCTTGTTTCAGTGGAATGCTGGGGGATTAATTAGTTCGTAACTGTTGAGAGGTGCAAACTAAGAGCAAGTTGTTCACAGCTTCTTGGGGCCTGAATCTCATCCTGAACTACATCTCTCCATGGCTGCCAAGGTTTTTCTACTACTACACAGATAGATATGTTTTCAGCACAGGCTTCCATGTGGAAGATTTAATAAAATAAAAGTAATTCCACTTTTGGAATCAGGCTGCCAGGGAGAATGTTTACAAGGAAGCAGCCTGATAAACAAGGAAATTTGGTGAGTTGCGAAGAGGTGAAATTCTACAGTGTGGCAACAATTCCCAGCTTGTCAGAGCCTCACAGTGGTCCCAGCCACCTCAGGCTGACTACAGGATCTTCATTTTTACAGGCAGCCTCAGGAAGCTAGGTTGGACTGAAAAAGTAACAGAATTATGTGAAACTTGTCTGAGTCACTGACCCTTCATCTCCACTAGTTCTTTCAGGGCACTGCTCGTGGAGGACAGAGGAGGCTGCAGCTGAGAGAGGAGATTTGCCCTTTCTGGTCACCACGAATTTCAGATCTCCACCCCTAGCCTCTCCCAGTCTTTTGTACTTTCCGTGTTAATCCATCCAGTGCAGCGTAAACTGACAGAGGCAGCAGCTAGAAACCCTGCTCTGAAAGCTGCTGTGAATGCCTCAGGACCAGCAGCAGCATGCATGTGAAAACTGTGCTCATCCTCCTCGTTCTGGCTTTAGCCACGATATTTGCCTTAGTCTGTGTGTTGCTGACCAGAGGAAGGGCCCCCAGCACCTGCCAGCACCAGCCCCTGCAGCCGGAGGACACCGATGACGGCCAGAGCCTGGTCTGTCCTGATCTGACGCCCGAAGAGATGGTGCAAGTGGTGCGGTACCTGCAGGGAAACCTGGGGGTGCAGCTGGTTGACGCCTCGCATGCAAAGCCCTCCGACAACTGCATCGCTTCCGTCGACGTGCAGGTCCCTGCCAAGGCAGAGGTGCTGCGGTTCCTGGATGGTGGGGGGGCGCCTGGCTGTGTTGTCCTTGGGGACCCAGCCGGACCCCAACATCACCGAGTATGTGGTGGGTCCGCTGCCAACGCCAGTGTATCACCGGGACGTCACGGTGCAGAAGTATGGGGGGAAGGTGCCATACCACCGCAGACCAACACTGGCTGTTGAATACAAACAGGTTGCAGGGTTTTTAAAAAGCCAAGTGTTCCCCACAGCTCCATCCTTCATGCGTCAAGTGATGGAGTATGATGGAGCTAGTCTAGCAGCCCTGACAGCTGCTCCCCGTGGATTCCAGTCTGGAGATCGGATCACCTGGTTTGTTCTGTTTCAGAACGTGAGCGGGTTCTTTGTGCACCCGGTGGGGCTGGAGGTGCTGGTGGACCACAGCAGCCTGGACATCTCCCGGTGGGCAGTGAGCAGGGTCTTCTACAATGGGCAGTACTACAGGGACATGGTTCAGCTGGAGAGTGCCTACGTGCAGGGTCGCATCAGCGTGGAGAAGGTGAGGAAGGCGACGC